CACTATCTTTCTGGAACCACTGTCCTCGCCCTCTGTTGGCGTGAGTTCTTTCAGCTTCTTCTATGTTACTGTAGCATTTCTCCTGAACTAATCGCATATCCGCAAATTCGCTACCTTATGCTTACGCTTCCAATATGATACCAATTAAGCATGGAACGCCTTCAAAATAATGCTTGATAACAAAGTTGAAATCTGATTTTCAACTGTTAATATCTTCTAGAGATTACCGAAAAAAATGTCAATATTTTTCTCCTACCTCCCAAGTAAGCCCCTATTACCCCTTTAAAGGAATGAATTTTTTTAATTCAATTTTGAATCACCCTGCATAAACTTTTGCCCTTTGAAGGAGGAAAAGCTTCCGTTTCTCTGATATGAAATACATATTACGGCTTACTGTTTCTTCAAACGACTCTTTGTTAACAATGTTTTTATAATTTCCTGAAAGAAGGCACTAAATCGATGGACTGATATTTGGAAATCAGAATTGAATTCTGAATCAAGAAACATATTTGATTATGCCAATGCATGAATATATCTAGGAAAACATTGGTTGAAGGAAGTTTATTCATCAGATCTTTATCCATTTGTATCCATTTATAAATCCTTTTCTAAAATCGTACAGTTTACAATAATAAAACTTTTAGAGATGCTTTACTGCAGAGTAGATTAAATTTGCATTTAAAAAAATCGAAACCGCGAATTTCTGCTTTGGTCAGGAAGATAACGATTAACAACCGTTCAATTGGATAAAAGTTTAATTTGTAATTTTCTATTCAAATATTTGCGTAATGTGCGGTTAGTAACAAATTACTTTACATTTTACAATTGTTTGGAGCATTGTTTCTGGATTTTGATTATTTTCCCCAACAAACTTGTATTTATTCCAACAGCCTGCCAGAACCATTCCTGAAAAAAAAGCCACAACTCAAAGTCCAAACAATGAATAGAAATCCCTTTCGCCGTTCGGCATAAAAACGGGGTTGCATATGTTTCTGGGCATTTTATGCACCGTACTCCGCCCAGTTGGAGCGTTTTACTGCTCTCACTTTCTCGAAATGTGGTTTCTTTCACATTTATATGTATATTGTATCACTTGGAGTAAAAGAACTCTGCTTGACGCTAAGCGGCTGCGTAATTTATTTCTTCGGGTATTTTTCCTGTTTTGGGGGCTCGGTTTGTTCGATCATCTGGCACGGTAGCGGCAGGGTTTTTCGGTTTTACGGAATTGATCGAATGAAGTTCGTTCAAAGATTGTTTTAGCAATTTTTTTGAAACTTTAATGCGCATATACGAGGAAGTAATTTGGGGCCGACTCTAATTAAGTGGCATGACGCGATAGTCACCAGACTAGAAATTGCATCCGGAGCATAACAAGTTGAGAAAATCCAAACTTTAAAACCGCAAAGTTTTATTGGAGTCTCAAGACAGCCACTAGCTAATAAATATGTTAATTTAAATGAAGCGGAAATAGAGGCAAGAAAGTTCACTGGATAGACTCGCTTTAATATATTTTGAACAACTTTTCCACATTTTTCGCTTACAAGTTGGGTTAGACAGATACTTACAGCGTTTCAGGTCTGCTCGATAATTACAAAATTATTTGCTATGGGAGGTGGTTAAAACTGACATTGAATTTAACCCGCATTAAAACATTTACAGGGCCACAAAAGCAATCTTTTTCTTTAAACTTCGGCAATATAAATCCCATCCCCCATTGGTTTTCCCCCATTATTCGACCTTATATTCAAACCCATCAATTTGGGGAGCGCTTCTGCAGCCGTCGAAGTATTTTCATAAATCCAATATCCCAAACCAAATTACATTTACATAACCTTTCTATTATATTTACTGTCGCTATCCAAGCGATTTTCTTCTTATTAGCGCGGCCCGACCCTTTTTCCAGTCTGGAATTGACATAGTTGTGTTTCACAATCCCTACCAGAAGAGCATTGCAGCTGGCGTTTTCTAGCCGAGACAAATGTTCTAGTAACCTAATTTATTCTCCAATTAGATTGTTTGTTATTAAAAATTGTAATCATTAGGCAGCTTCCAAACTAAATAAATGAGAAAACCGCCAAGAAAAGAATTTCCCCCAAACATTCCAGCAGTTCTGGCAAATGACACGGCCCCATATATTCCCTTAAAGGGCCCAAATGAACTTTTCGCTTATCGGTCCCGATCGACACAAGCCAATTTCCTTGCGAAATCGTGCCTCAAATCGACGGTTTCTTGCCTATGTATTTGCCACTATCTTCTGCCCGATCTACGCCCTGTTTGAGCCAGAAAAGAGGCTCGAGTTATTATCTGCAAATTTGTCAATTTTACTTCCAACTGTAAAAACCCGAGCGAGTTTGTTAGCAGTAATTTTGGAATGGTCATTAAGACCCAAAGCACGTTTTACGTTTATCAATCGAGGTTTTACTGTAAATTGTTTAACATGAAAAAAATTAATTCGGTGGATTTACATAGTGAAGCTCATCAAAAGCAACGGAGGCCAGCCGCTTTTCGCAATTTATTAACATTATTCGTCTTTAAATTTAAAATATTATTGACAAACAATTAGCGACTTTTAGATAGTTTGTTCAATTTTTAGTTCAATGTGGCATTATTTCTCTAAAGCCTGAATTGGTATATAAGCAATTACATTTTCGGCTTTATTATCGATAATAATCTGTGAAAATGTTGTCACATTTTTTGGTACTGCAATGATGTATGAATTATTCAATATTCACTTTCCTATTGCCTCTTGGGCCGCCATTATTTTCCAGCTGTTTAAGCGATCATTTAGGTGATGAAATAATTAAATTTAAATGGTTACTGACCCATATTCGCTTTTTGTGTGCTTTATGTGCTGAATAAAATCGGCTCAGTTTATTCAGTTGGTAACAGATGCACTAAAACTAACAAAGCAGTTAAATTAATAAATCGGTCATGTCGATTCGCGCACAATATCAAGACAATTGAATGTCCAAAGATCCTCAATGAAATTCAGTGATTTGCGTTTTATTTTTGGAATCGTCTAGATAGCGAGCGGCATAAACGTCCCCTGATTTTGCATTTGAAATTGAGGGTTTGCCCTAAAAGCGAGACCGCATTATTTCACCTTTGGCCGCAGGGCAACAGTTTAATGTCTACCCCCCATTAAATCCGGCCTTTCTAAAGTTTGAATTTCGGCCGAATCGTGAGATTTTAATAGACCAGAACATCGGGCTGAAAATCACACTTCCAGGCATTGTTTTGCATTTTTGGAACGCTGAAACAGCCTAAATCTCATTTGGTTAGACGACAAGTTCGTTAACAATGCCTTCGATATAGTTTGCTTAATGCCAAACAGTTTTCGGCCTGAACGTTTGCAAACAAAGAAATGTTTGAGTTATTTCAATAGATTATGAAAAAAGGCCTTTAGAGAAAATAATCGATTGAACCTAACAATAATTAATAGCGACCGACGAAATTTCTTTCAAATTTCTGTAGCCCTGAAAGGACCGATGTATTTGAAGAAACTGAACAGTAATCAAATCAAATGTTTAAAATGTGAGAAAGTTTACGGCTTGACAATACCAAAGGCGATCAATAAACTCTTCTTGCATATTGTGTGGCCTGCCAACAAATATTGAGGATTTGAGGTAACGCCACCAAAAAAATACATCGGGGTTAGATCTCGCGGTCTAGGAGGCCGTTCAACGGGTCCTCTCATCCACCGATCGGGAAAGGTTTTATTCAGAAGTTTACGCATAATGGCTGCATGGAGAGGAGGAGCACCATCGTGATGGAAAACCAGTTCTACGTCAGGAGAAATAAAGACCAGTGCTTGGATATGCTAAGTTGGAGAAATTCCTGATTTACTTGTCCCGTTAGAGACTGTTCAGAGGAAAATGCTCCTATTACTCTTCCGCGCACTATTTCTGAATCACCCTGTGTACAAAAATCGCACTTAAAAATAAAAATTTGCGGTCCGGGTTTTTTCCAAAAAACACACCGACGAGTTTTAATTCAATTTAGACATTACTTCTGGGACTCGCGGTTCAATCAACTCTGATTCAAAAGTCTCTACTGTCTACAGCAAAGAAAATAATACTTGAAACTGATCACTCTTAGTCTTATTGATAATTTTTGTATTGTTAAAATTGTGGTAATTATTTCAGGTGAAAGTAATGCTGCGAGTATCAAATCCGACTCAGAACGCAGTGGCCGACACTGGCGGAGGATCGAACAACTTCTTCAGTTTGGACAAACGAAAAAAGCAAGTCACCTTAGTGGATCCCAGTATCTTGAATGGTTCGTCAGCTCCAGAGGATCGTAGAGTGGGCGTGGCCGCGCCTAAGATGTTCGCCTTTGATGCCATATTTTCCCAAGACGATTCGCAGGTAAGTTTTCCCCTTTATAAACAGTTTTCTATGGGAAACATGGCTTTTAGCATGTATCAAAACAACACTTAGACCCCTTGTAAGCCTGGCGATGTTACCCACCACCAATATACTCCATTTTAATAGACACTGTCTAGAGATTAGTATTTCCAACTTTAATTAGAAAATATCTTCGGGAAGCTGACATTTTACTTAATGCGACCGGATGAAAGCCAGGTTTAGAGAGTTTTAATGAAGTGACGACTGAACAGTTTAGTTTGTTTTCTTCAATGGCAAAAATTTCCAGTACAATAATAGCTTATCTGTTTTGCCGGCTATAATGGTCTATTAAAAATTCCTGACTGGATCGCGGAGAATTTAATCAAAGTGCCAGCGCCAAAGGATCGTGATTTAATTAAGTATTAGTAGCGCAAGGTCGAATATTTGGAAAATATGCGAAGCTCGAAGGCTCTCGTCAGTGGCAAATAGCTTTATTATCCAGCCAATTCAACGCCACGTACATTTTTGCGTTAAATCGCCATCGACGTGAGTTACTTCTATCAGGCAATCCTACTTTTTACAATATTCTATGTTTGGCTTTTGCCAAGAATGATTCGTAAAGTATACAATTTCATATTACTTCCATTACTCAATTGGAGGATATGCTTTTTTTACAAAAAAATCCTTCGTTTGGTCGCATTGTCGCAAAGAAGGTCGCAAAGAAGTCTTCCACTGTCCGAAACTTTAGTCACGACAGTTTTTGTTGGTTTTTCAGATGTGTTGAATTCTCCGTATCCGTTTATCTTTTCACTTCTACTTTATAATACTTTTCTTTGCAGCTTCTAGGCAATAGTTYGTTAAGTTCTTTTTGCATTTGCTTTAGTAATCCTTGCTGAATTTGTGTAAGTAAGTGTGTTTCCAAAGAGATCTGTTGGACTGGAGGAAATTCATCTTATAACCATATGGCTTGACAGATTTGAAACCTTCATACCTTGTGAATATCAGTTAATTTATTTATTTAAAGCCATACTGAAACGTTCGTTTCACGAGAATTTCTAGAAATGTGAAACAGCACTTCGACAAAAATTACCAACGCATTTTTGAATCATACTATAAAACGTGTCTTTAAATTTGATTTTCACAGATTTTTTTGCGGAATGGAAATTAGGGAGAGGATTTTACCGGACTATCACTACGCCCTCAGTTTTTCACCTGATATGATTGATTAAAAAGCTTTAAGATAACAGAGAAAAAAGTTTCCCTAATTTTAGCTTTTCTATTTTTGGTATGCAGACTTCTGAGAACCGAATTCGTTTTAGAATAAATTTTAGTTATTATTTATTCCTACTCTCTGCCGATGCGCTTAACTTTTTATTGTCTCACCCCAATTACTTCAATAAATCTGAAGCAAAAAATTGTCTTAAAATGTAAATGTTTATGAACATGTACGTTTTTTTAAACTATTTTGCCCTGCTTTTTAACTTGATATTTGAACAGTATTTCGTTAAAGGTGATTTTTAGCTCAATTTGGCTATAACTACAAAGAATTTATTCGATTGAGTGAATTCGAACTGAACAATTGCAAGTTTAATGAAAGCTTAATCTATAGTTGTTGAAAAGTTTAATTTCGCTCTGAAAAAACGCTTAGTATGTATATGGCTATTTGGATATTTTTCAAAGCAATCCAACTAACTTAAGTTGAATAAAAAATGAGTTAATTGTAAGCTGAGCGAAGATCATCTAAAACTAGCGAAATTGGTTCTAATGCATTTCATTTTCTAAACTAAACTCCAAGCTGGAGTATTTTTTAAGCTAACAAAATGGAACAAAAAAATGCGATTTAAAATAATTCCACAACGACTTCTAAAAAAACTGCAGCTATCGTGGTATAAGCTGAAAATACGAACCCGAACTAAGAAGTACTAAATGAAATGAACTAGAATCAACTCAAAGTCGCCCAAAACCAAACGATTTTATGTTGCATCGATTTGTACTTAACAATAAAAATTACGAAAATAAACGAATACGCGGCATTGAAAGTATTATAGAAGCGAAAACGAAAGAATGTGTGAAGAACAACATATATTACACGTTTATTCTAATTGCACCTCAATATACTGTCAGTAAAATGTATGGCAAAAACATGCCGCTTGCTAATATAATCAATCTTCCTTTTGAGGAATGTTGCTTCCTTTCAGATTGTCGTTAAATTTCTAGTTTTTTTTTTGTTCAGGAAATAATGGATTATTAACGGTTTTCTGTGAAAACCTCTTATTTATTTACTTATTTAATAAAATTCAATCAATTATGGTATCATGTGAGAGAAAAGAGATATTATATAAAAAAACTTGAATATAGGAATTACAAAAAACAATTAGACAAAATAATTAAAGCAGAAAAATATAAGTATGAAAAAGAAATGATTGAAAAAAATGTTAATAACATAAAAAGACTCTGGGATTACATAAATAGTAAGCTGGGAAGAAATGCTAATAATAATAGTAATGTTAAACAAATTACAGCTGCTGATGGTAGTTTAACAGACAAGCCAAAAGACATTGCTAATATTATGAACAGCTTTTTCTGTAATATTGGTAAAAATCTTAGTAACAAGATTGATACCCCCAATAATAAACAACTGAAATTTCCACCAATGAATAATAAATCAATATTTTTAAAACCTATTGATAACCTTGAAATCTTAGACATCATTCATAATATGATGCTCAAAAATGGTGGTATTGACAGAATCAACACCAAAACTCTAAAAACAATATCTTGGTACATCACTGATCCTTTGAAATATATTTTTAACTTTTGTTTGGAGAACTCGATTTGGCCCAATTCATTAAAAAAAGCTGACGTGCCGTTACATAGCCAAAATATGCCACATAGCCTAAAATTGTATACGAAAGGTTATATAAATTCCTGATCAATGACGGTATTTTAGCCGGAAATCAATATGGTTTCGTAAAAGATAAAGGTACGAAAGATGCCCTAAGTTATTTAACTAGAAAATTGTGTGATAATCTCGATAAAAGCAAACCTGTTGCTGTTGGTTTCATTGATCTTGCGAAGGCTTTTGATACAGTAGATCACAGTATCCTGCTGATGCAATTGAGGCTGATTATTTGAGTGAAAGAAAACAACAAGTTAGACTGGATGACGTGATCAATGATTTTGAAACAATCAATACAGGAGTCCCACAAGGGACAATATTGTGACCTCTACTATTTATAATATACGTAAATGACTTGCTAACAGACATGGCTAAAATGCTATATCCTATGCGGATGATACAGCTATTATAGCCCATGATGAGTTTTGGAGTAAAGTGGAGAGTAATATGAATGTATATTTGGATAAGGTTTCAACTTGGTTGGCCTTAAATAGGTTGTCGCTAAACATAAGTAAAACAGTTTATATAACCTTTGGAAACTATTACGATAGTGTTCCAAAGGATATGAATATTCAAATAAACAATAGTAGATTAAGTAGGGTTGAATCTTGTAAGTATTTCGGTATAAAGTTTGATTACAACTTAAGGTGGAATGTACATATAGATTATATTTAAAAAAATACTAAATATTTGGTATATACACTGTATAAAAGTCAAAGTATGTACAAGTATAAATGCTTCAAATGTTGTACTATGCGCTGTTCCATAGTATTATCAGCGATAGTAATATGCCGTGGGGCGGTGCCTATGATAACAGACTCGCTGCTACAAAATCGCCAGAACAGAGTTTTGAAAATTATTAATTAGGATACTTTCGATAAAGAAAGACCATTAACTATACGGCAGCTTTGTGCATATGAATGCCTCCTTATCTATCATCATGGGCATCTCGCTGATATGTACTGCAATTCATCTAGAAATACTAGAAACAAGAATATTCAACTACCAGAGTCAGTCAAAACTGTCAGTGTAAAAAATAATTGTATATAATATTGTAAAGCCATTAGAGTGTTTAATGAGCTTAGTAATGATCTCAAAGTAATAGATGTGAGAAAAAGTCAAGTATTTGTATGATTTCTACTTGCTGGTTGCCTGGCTATCTTCTGTTGTGTCTGTTATTTTTGGTTTTCTCTTTAAGTTTCTGTTTTACGCTTTTTTTCTATATATTAAGTTTGCGTATACTGGACTGCGAACAGGTATTTTATTTAACTCTGCAGAATTACAATTAATATGTAATTTATTTTCTGGCATTAAAATTAAAATTTGTTCATAAGTTGCAAAATACATCATAAAATATGTTGGCTGTAAAGTTGAGAATGTCAAACTTCTCAAGATATATGTAAAACGAACTGCTTATATTCTACTGTTTGTGTCTCAAATATGGTTACAATAGGCACTAAACCCATTTGGGTATTCAGTTTAAAAACCTCTATTTTATGCCACCCAGTATGTTTCAAGAACGCCCCAAATCCTTTATAGTAAAAATGGAAAAAAACTCATTTTAAAAGCAACTTTCTCTATCTATTTGCTCAACATTTCCGTTACCAAAAAGCTTTGAGAAAGCGGCTCAACTTGTACTTTTCTCGCTATTTGTACAGGATGAATATAGTGCCCTGCCCAAATACTTAAACGCAGTTCGTTAGAAATGAAAACAATAAGGAATTTCCAACTTTCTCCCCTATTTCCAACAAAACGTGAAGTGGAACTCTAAGGAAGATTGAACACAACTTGTACATTTGCTTCCCTTCAGTTTTCCATCGGCTATATTGGCCGACTTTTCCAACGTTGCCGCATATTCTAGTCCGCCTCTGGCTTTTTTGTTAGCATCTTTTATAAATATAAACATAATTTATTTGTACGTAGTGTATTCATATGGAATCTTGCTTAAAACCAATACTTTTTCAGCATACTTAAATCTAGAATTAGGCGACAGAGCGACTTTGATACTTTCGTTGGATGTTATTCCCTATTTTTATTAAGGCATATTAATTACATAATTGTTTCATAAATCAGTCCACAAAAACAGATGCTGTCTTCACAGCAGTTAAGTAATTTCCAAATCGACTTTGTTACGGCTTTAAAACACATGTTCTCTTTGCATTTCTGCATTATGATTTTATTGCATCCCAATTCCAAATGTGAACGTACATTAGTACTTCAAAATAGAGAAACTGTGAAATTTTTTATTTGTACCAAGCCTCCAAAATCTACACAGCTGTTCAGTAGGAGCCAAAAACTCTTTAAACTGTTTAACTCGCCATCAGTCTTCCCACTAACACTTGAGATCTTTTATCTTTTAAAATGCATTATTTTAACAAAGTTGCATTGGAGCGCAAATATCTGCTCGTATCCTCTATTTGAATATTCGAAGGGAAAGAAGCCGGTTGTTCAACCACCAGTCAAAGTTTTCATGATTATGGTATGTATTATTATATTATGTATGTCTGTTTCAACTCGGCTTTTGTAGACCAATAATCAAGATCAGTTTCTCGCCGTTACCTGCACATTCACAACTGATTCTTATTTCTTTTCATCATTCTGATGTTTCTGCCACACACTCCGTTTTGTTATGCTTGAACCAGCTTTGAGTCTGCTGGAACTTGGCAACAGGGTATCAGGCCTACAAATAAGCCGAAGGGCATAAATTCTTCGGGTGCAATGCGACACAATCCGATGTAATAAATTAGGCTGCAATCGTGTTCATTAAGAAAATCGTCGCCGAATTACCGTCGCAAAACCCGATTCTCATTTTTTCCGCCCCAAACCGGAGGGAGATAATTAGGAGGCCATTTGAGGGCGAGACACTGCCGGGGGGTTAGTTAATCGTCAATTAAGACATATTGTATTTCAGTAGAAATCCGTTTGGCTTGTCTAGTAAAAAATTGATGATGATTTAAATTTCCCAAGTTGACAAAGGGTTTTGTTTCAGAGTGAGGTATGCTCAAGTGCCCTTATCGACGTCATCCATGCTGTGATCAATGGCACCGATGGTTGTCTGTTTTGCTTCGGACACGCTGGACTTGGTGAGTAGATTTTCTCCCGGTAAAAGGTTGATAAACTGCCGCCCATTAGTATCGAAAAAAGTAACTGGAAACCGTTCCAGAAAATATCCATAATCCCTTAAAGTAGACGTTTCTCTTTATAGGCACGGTATTTATAAAGAAGGGCTTAGATGGCTTATCGGGTCTGGGGAATCGCCCAAATCCAATGCAGTATTACTTTTCGCCGTGGTTTGAATGCGAGAACGTGCATCGATTCGACGGTTTTTTTATGTCGTCGAAACAGATTAATTTAATTTATGCAGTTTGGATTAAGCAAAGTTGCTCAAATAGTCAAAACAAGCTGCTGAGTAACCGGAAAATACAACAACCTTCCGACGTGATTTAATCATGAGAATGAGAGAAGAATTTTGATCCTGCTGAAAATTAAATTTTCTGATTAATGCAATTCCTGTTTAGTAGGAAATGCTGTTGTTGTTTATTTTTATATATTTCGTAATTATTGTTTTGAGGTTATATCCAAATGTTTCAACAACTGGCAAAATATTTTGGTTTGTTTAATTGTTTCTCCAAAATAGTTTACTTTTCTTGTTAAAGTCATTTCAACAGTTGCCTTTAATTTTCACACTATCTGGGGATTTTTACATTCGACTTTCTACTCATTTACGTTCTTGCTTGCTGTCGTGACAATAATTTTACCAACAGCGACAGATTTTCAAAAACGGAATTGACCGCATTTCAATCGGGAATTTTATCCAGGAAAAGGGGGTAACAGTGCACGTAATACTCCATTTCTATGCAAACTTGGAGCTAAAAGATGCAAGGCTCATCTTGAGCAGGAGTGTCGTTCAGCATTATTAGGCATTATTTATAAAATGGGGCTTTTGTCTTGCCGAATTTCGGCAATATCCAGGTCTGGAATGACGTGTGCGGCATATTGAAACGCGGTTTATGGATGAATCGGCTCGATGTATCCCCGAAGAGTGGCAGTTAGGCCCACAAAACAGTTTCACTAAAATTAAACGACGGTTGTTTTCGTATGGTGACCTATTTTTTATTTTTATATTACTCCCACACTTCACTCAGTGTGAGGGAGGTGATCTAAATTTTGCCCCCTATCATTTTATCCATGCTGGGGATATTTGACATGAGAATGGCTCCCAAGCGAGCAGTAAAAATTATCTGGAATGGGTTATTTAGGATAAAACGCAATTAACACAGTGGAAAATGTATTTATGAACCCTGGTACACAGACACGCATGGATAACGCGGGTATAAGAAAAGTTTCGAGCGTATGGTTGCAAGTTTTCTATTTCTAATTCGACGATATGGAGTTTAGTGTAACTGGATCAATGTGAAGCCTGTAGAATCTTCAGAAGCTAAAGGTTTTGTGCGCGGAAATTAGAACAAATTATCAATTCTTCAAGGGAATTTCCAAACGAGTTTTATTTTTTCAGCTGCGTTGTTCGAAAAATTTCGATTAATTGACAAAAAGTAATTTTATATTTTTTTGATACTGGTGGCTTTCCCAGTGTGGTTTAGCCGAAATCGATACATTGAAAATCCCAGAAATTAGTAAAAAATGCGGCACGTAGTGACAAAAAAAATACGCAAATTCACGTGAAAGTTGCGTGCGTCCACGTGAAAGAAGTGCCATTACAGATATAAGTGGACGATTGAGTTAAAAATAGAAAGTTTACATTTGCGATTTTTGCGGACAAATGACTTCTTTCGAAAAATCCGCCTTTTGAGAAATATAAGTCATGATGGTGCCTGGAAAAGCATTTTTTAACTTAACCCATGAAGGACGGAGTTTTTGAAAATAATTATTTCTCATTGATTTTACATATAATCAACGTAAATAAACAAAATCAACTTAAAAAGAAACAAAATACTCATAAAATCTTCTAAACTTAAGATATATTGTATGTTGCCATATGGCAACGCCAGGATCCTATGGGGACTTACAAAATGTAAACATAAAATATAACGTATCGATGAGTACTACCTACAGTGGTGTATGAAACTGTACATTGTGCACTTTGTGCATAATCAAAATTAATTCCTGGGTTTCAGTCATTTATTGTCTTTATTTATCAATTAAAATACGTTTCGGTGTATCAGTTTATGTTATTTTCTTCTTATCATCATCAGTTTATGTTATTTTCTATGTTATTTTAGAAAAACTGATGATGGTGGAAAAATACACCGAAACGTGTTTTAATTGATAAATAAAGACAATAAATGACTGAAACCCAGGAATTAATTTTGATTTGGAATTGAAACAGTCAGGAAAGTATATACAAAAAATTTGTGCATAATGCAACTGCGCATTTAGCACATCAAGTACGCATAATGGATTTACAATCTTCATCTGCACATCTGATTTTTCTTTGATTTTGCACCGGCTCCAATAAATGTCCTACTCCGTCAACTCTAATGTCATCCGCAACTCTATGTGAAGATGGACTCGCATCTAGCATCAAAGTTATCAAGCTCCAGTTCCACTTTTTTGCTCTCATTACAATTCGAAAGCGGTTTATGTTCTTATCCATCAAATTTGTGCCGCCCATTGCATTGTTATATTTTCCAATACTACATGGACGTTGCACCTAGATAATTATTTTTCAGCTTTTCAGTATCTTTTTACAAACGATTGTGGTTCCATACCGTACCATGCTGATGCCACACTTACCACGTTATTATCCAACCATCTTACAAGGATAATACCAGCTGCTCTATCAAGGATTGAATCGAAAGAACCTCTCTTGCGTTTCGGCATATTATTTTTTGAAGCTATTAGACAGTTTTTGGGAATGCGATTTTCGCGTATTGTTCCGGTAAGGTCATACCCGCGATCCTTTATATGTACCAAAAGGTGTAAGCTTGTAAATAAATTGTCACAATAAAATTTGTAAGGTAATTTGACTTTATGGCTTTCGTTATAAGAGACAAACTCCTTCTAGTTCACAGATAAACTTGCATTCGAATTGGTGTTTGCCTCAATATTTGCCATTTGGTTGAAAACAGCTTTCTCACCGCTTTTAGTTTTTCCGACAAGAAAAAAATGCAACGCATAATTAAAGCTAGACAAAAAGCTGTTCTTGCCTTTATTATATAGCAAAAAACTCTCTCGAACTCACAAACAAACTTCCATTCAAATGGGTGTTTTCTTCCTCTTTTTCCATTTGATTGAACACAACTTTGCCTGCGTTTCGGGACTTTCTGAAGAGAAATTTGAAAAACAATGCCACTCAAAACTGAAACCGAATACAGACATGCACTTACCTTCTTTAGCAAGAGAACATTTTACTTCTAATTCCCGAAGAATTTTGTGTGGAAACTTCCATTCACTCCTCAGTCACGCTGCTACGACTGAATCGGCTTCTGTGGCTCACAAGTTAAAACCTACAATGCCTTCAATCCAAAAAAGTTACTGGTTTACAGCTCAACTGAAGGAAAAATCAGTGGATGACTGAAAATATCCTTCGACTAATGGAGAAAAGAGCGGCTATGTGAAAACAGAAACTAACAAGAGGACCGAAGAACAAATCCAAAGCAAAATCGATAGTGCTAAAGAAGAGTGGCTCAAAATGAAATGCTTAGAAATCATACATACGGAAGGAAAGCCTGATGCATTTAATATTCGCAGACTAGAGGTGTGATAAACGGTTATTTTTCTGTAACGGGTTACAACGTTCCAGTTTCACCTTGGTAATAGGTTTCAAAATGCGGTTTCAAAAGGAACATGTAACTTTTTAAATTTTTCATTAAAAATGTAGAATGATGATGACAGTAAAAATAGTAACGATATATTATGGCTTTCTTTATTAAAAACATAATTCTTAACATTGGTAAACTTAAAATGAAATTTTAAAATCAAACACAAAACATGGGTCAGAAGTAACTACTTAAAGAACAAAAGAACTGATAATAAACTAGAATGATTAAATCAAATATACGATTTATATGCGAAAATGTTTAAAAATCTAATTTAACAATAAATATATGTATATAGTAATAAAAACATTTAACAATAAAATTTTTTGCAGATGCATTTTACTAATTTTAGTTCTTCACTCGTTTATGATACCATCCACTTTAGAAAATAATCTATCGTATTTCGTTTCAGAATAACATTAAATAATCCATAATAACAACAAACAGAAATGCGTGTTTGGCAAACCTGGACGAAGTGTTAATTGAGTTAATTTTGGTACCACCAAAAAATACTTAAAAAAAGATATGTCGACCTGTAAACAACATTTATAACTATTCAAATAACTTTCAATTCATCTCTGACTGAATTTATATTTAAAAAGGACCAGCTTGCTTAAATGCAGGTGCACATTCTGCTTAAAACTTTTGGTATTTTACATTTCTACTGTGATGGAATTTATATCTTAGACTCTTAGTTTGTTCATAGCTCATATGCAAGTGCATATTCTGCTTAGTTTGCTGGTAATGGGCATATAACTCCCTAGCGAAGTTTCTTGAGAGAAATCCCTCTTTTAAAATTTATTACAGAATGTCAGAAAACTAAATACTTATAGACTAAAAATGCTGAATTATATCATCGCAGCAACTAAACACATTTTTGCTGAGCTGAACTAATCTGTTTTCTGGAGAACTGAACAGTAGTTCTTATAAACGAAAAGTTATGCACAATTATTAAGGCATCGCGCACATACAACATATTTTCCGTTGACAATTTAGCGGTTACGTTAAATACCGACCATCCCTATCGCACACCAATAAAGGAAACCACGGGGCAAACAAAACAACCAATTATTCTTAATAAGAATTAAGTGATCACAAGCGTTAATAAAATACATAAAAACTATTCAAAAACCCATCTAAATCTATCGGTTGCGACACTGGAATAAATTTATTACAAATAGGACAAAACAAAATTAAATGTTTATGTACCGATGTTCACTAAAGCATGTAGTATCAAAAACATGTCTATCCAGTAAAAAACAAACTTCTCTTAATGAAAGGTATCCAAAGTCCATCATGACCGGCCAAAAAACTCCTGTGGAGCAGCAAACAACCTACCGTACTTTTCGGTTTTTCCGCCCATCAGCAAAACGTAACTTACGAGTATCCTCGCCTCCAAACTCAACATTAAACTGACAAATTTGTGATGTTCCTAGCACATAGACATATAGACATTTTCAGCTTGCATATTATGTAAGTCAGCTCTTAAAATGCCTGCTGCAATAAAACTGATGTCTCGCATTTCTGGGAACGTTAGAATTAAATTCGCCCAAGTACACAGACAAAGTTACCAGTCTTAAACACTCCTTAGATCATAATAATTTCGTGGAACACAACACACTACACAAGTTTAAATTGAAACGAAGTGCGTTATGAGCACTAAATTTTAATGAATATCTCCGCCGGAATTAAGATAAATCCGCCCAGAGCCAACGCACCGCTCTTGGAAAGTAAGCAGAGATCCTCCTGAATGGAGGGTGAATTTTCGGTTTTGTTGTGCTATTTTAGGACGTTATTGTTGGACGAATGTCGGGATTTTAGATTTTCCATTGGAATTAAAATGCGCTTGCAGTACGGGAAAGTCATCCGTATCCTGCAGGGGTTTTAGGGAAAGTAGCACTAAAGGGTTTTCATTGGATTATTTTTTTTATTTCCAGGTAAATCCTATACAATGTTGGGCACACCAGAAACATCCAACACACTCGGTATAATCCCTTGTGCCATTGCGTGGCTTTTTAAAGGAATCAACGAGCAAAAGCAGAAAACAGGAGCCAGATTTTCAGTGCGAGTGAGCGCAGTGGAAATATGTGGACCGACCAATCAGCTACGTGATCTTCTAACCGGCTACTCAAATGGTAAGTCAGCAATTCGAACGATATTCCAGCCGCGAGTTTAATTAGCTGAAATTTATGATTTAATTAAAAGTCTTCGCGAAAAAAAATAATAAAACGGTTGCAAAAAGTTACAATTTCCCCAAATTAAAAAATAATTAAATTTTCTTAGCTGGAAAATGAGGTTTTTATAAGACTTACTGAAAAGGAATTTGAATGGCAAAAAGGGGATTGTTTAATAAACGACGCGGCTCTTCTCCGATCGCAGTCGAGAGGTGTTTCGTAAGAGAATTCAAGTTTGAGTCGTTTTGGCACTTTTGCCACTCGAAAAATAAAATATTACACCCGGTTTTGCCTTCGGTGTTGTTTTGATTGACGACAGTTTTGGTTCAGAGTTAACTTTGCGAGCGGAATTATCAGGTAAAGTTTGGATCGAGAAACCGTCTATCAACTCAGTCTTAGATAGTAGTTTGCCCAATTTCCCTTGCTAAGCAAGGAAGAAAACTTGTGTTGTTTTCTTTTACTTTGCTCCTTGCAGGAAAATCATCAATTTTATTTTCGCATTAGATTCAAATGGAATTGCATACAGATGTTCACAAATTTGGGTTTTAAAATGTCGCTTTTTGTTGGCCAAGTTGCGTTTTACGATTTTTTCTAAACAAATCAATTGTAATGAGCCTAGAAAACGTTCCTCAGCGAAATTAAATCTCTTCTGAATTCAAATTGTGACGAATTTGAATGCTTTCTGATTGGTTCGTCAGACGGCAGCGATTTATGAGTAATTAAAGCCGAGATAAGGATCTCAGTTTTAATTAATTTCATTAGAGCCGAGTAGTTAAGGTGCAAGGGGACAATTAAAGTTTTGAAGGGCAATCTCGAATTATATCGTACACATTGTAGATTTAATGAAGGACCGTTAAATTAAGTTATTAGTCGGCGTTTGTTAAGAAAGCATTAAAGTCCCTTTTACCGTTAAATGAACACTTGGCGCAGCTCAGAAATTGAACGAAGTTATAAAACAATGCAGTTTACGATATGAATTTTCTAAGAATTTTCTGTTGCTACCTCGGGATTAGGACAGGTTGTTCTACACTAATAATAAAGTTTTTGGAGCGCTCAGAATGACAAAAGTTTGAAACGCAATCAACCTTGCCGTCATTTAATCCCATATTTACAGGCTGGAATGGTCGCGGCCATTATTTACGAACTGTTTCAAAAAACGTTTTAAAACTTTAAAGCGTTTTGGTGGAAAGTGAAAAGTAATGGCAGAAACAACGCGAAATACGTCGTAAACAACGTGTATAAGGAAAAGTTGCCGTGCGAATATCTAAAACGGTTTTTAATTATGTCTTGGGCCCCCTCGCTTGACAAATTGCTATATGGCTTTAAACGCGAAATGGGTACTTTACCTTGTCGTATGGGAAATCACCTGTAAATGTCCCATGGAAAGTCTGCAACATGGAATGCCGCAATTTATTATATGCAGTTTATGCGTCACGGATTAGTTAAATGTGATATTTTGACTATTGCTGCATGTTTTCATATTAATTAAATGATTAATTGGTTGCAATTGAACAGTTTTTTTCAACCCTTTTAAATCGGTTGCTTAATTAGAAATTAGTGACTGTTTCTAGGAGTGTATATTTTGCGATTTATTTCGTGCCCTTACATTAAATTGCGAGAAACAGGTGAGTGGACACGAAAATATGTGCAACTTAAAGCAAAGAGTTGCGCGGTTTTAGCATATTTTCTTGTGGAAGTGCGAAACTTTCTTTTCTTAAAATGCTGAAAATGTCCAGGAAATCTTTAGGAATTTCATCATTTATTTGATAGAATTTTCAACGTAGTTTATCGCAAATTCCAATCCTTCAAAGCAATTACTATTGCTGGTTTTTTTCAGCTGAAATAAATCTGCTTGTTCAGAAACACGTATACTACAGGTATACTTATATACCTGTTGAATCTCTATTTCATTAACTTATAATAAAAAGATTCGAATTCAAATGTTAGTTATTTTTGTTTCAAGTTTGTACATTGTCTCATTAATTTTATTTATTGGATGTGTTTGATGTATTCAATATTCGCAATAAACCTAATAAAACATTTGGCAACAATGCACTTGATTGCACTTGAAAATGGCGTTTTTTTCACTAATGTTACGTAAATTCAAACAGAAAAAATTGAAAGAAAGAAGAAACTATCCAACACTTCAATCAGTTGAAGTTAGGCATGGGTGAATTTTTAGGACTTGGCGCAGTGCTACGCAAATGGCTTGGTGCGCCAACCCAACGCACCGGCGCAGTTCCGTTGCCAGGAAAATGTTGATGACTTTTTTTTTACTTGTTTTTAGATTCATTGTAAGGACCCTTTATAAATAATATTTTTTTAAATTTCTTAAAAATTTCAGACTTTTCCAGTCTTAGCCAAGTTACTCTTTCTTCTCAATCCTCAATTTCCTATAGTTAGACTTAAAAATGTTGACAATCTTAAGGTATTTCGTGCGAAAAATTATGAAATAAATTTCGAATCCTTCGTCGCTTTGCAAAAAGTTTTGAAATCATTTTCCAGCGTCGAATTCTGAACAAATGTTAAATAATTTTCTATCAAAATACGAACAGAATAAGCGAAAATTTGTAACAGATTATTTCGAAATCTCGTCACCTCCATTCCTCTGAAGACCGAAGAGTTTAAAAAAAATGTGGTTTTTTAGCTTTGAATGGAGTTTTTTGCTTTACTTTTTATTCAGAAGCGCTCTATTTTGTAGAGCTTCACTTAAAAATACTGACAATCTGGAGGTCTGTTCCGCGAAAAATTACAAGAAAAATGTATAGCTTTGTAAAAATTTAACGAAATCTTTTTTCAGCGTTCAATTCGAGACAAATGCAAAAATAAATTCCTCCCGTTTTGCCCGAAAACCAGTAAGGTTTTCTCCAAAACCGATCACAAAGCTAAACGTTTTTAATCGATAACGCAAAAAACCAATTGTTTTCTGATGATTTTCTTCTTTTCCGACAATAATGGGGTCTTTTCAGCCAAAAATAACAAAACTAATTGTGCTACAAAATTCGCCACATTCATCGGTTTGCAGCGAACTTTAGAAAACTTATTTCAGCTTCGAATGTGTCACCAAAACTAAATAGTTTTATTCAGTTTTTTACCGAAAGAGCAACTGTTTAAAAAAAATGATTTTGAAAATGAGCCGCCCTCATCGCTCTGAAGATTAATAAAGTTCCTTTAAATTTTCAGGTCCTTCCAGTTTTAAAACAGTTTCTATTAAGCAATTCTTTCTACCCAAAAATAGCAATATTTTTCAGTTTTACTTAAAATACTGACAATCTTCAGGTATTTTCTGTGCAAAATTGTAAGATAATTTTTATTGAAACATTCGCTTCCTTAACGGCTTTGCAAACATTTTTGAAAAACTTTGAAGCTTCGAATTGTGGACAAAACCCGAATAATTATTTCTCTTTTCGCTCATTCGCCGAACTGAAAAGAAGAAAGTTTATAATCATTTATTGGGAAAACTCTTGGAAACTGGGGTTTCTTCAATTTTGGGTCAATATTCTAAACAACACTGTCTATAAACAGGAAAACCGCGTTTATCCGAACGTTTTACTGTAAAATACTGGCAAACTGAATCTTTTATGCAAAAAAAACAAGAGATAGATTTTACAAGAAAACTCGTCGACTTTCTTTGAACTCCGTGCTGTTGCTGGGAACATCTAGATTACTTTTTTTAGTTGTTTGAACAAAGTAGTAAAACGTTACTCAGAAAAAATATTGATCACCTTTTTTAGATGTGAAAATTCCAGTCTCGGGTCTCCTAAAGCTTTAATAAATGACTTATAACTGATTAACCGATGAGTTATAACTCGTTAACTCAGACAGCGGCAACAACGCAATACCGCAACTCAACACAGTGTTACCCAGATCTAGTTGAAGTTTGCAACCCAATATATAAATGACTGCATATCAGTGCCTAATAATAAGAAATGAGCAATTTCCCACATATCTGATTATTTAAAGAAAATTGTTGGAAAACGTGGTGTTTTTGCTTGTAATCCTTTTTTTTAGCTGAGCGCTTAAGTTGCATGACTTGCCCCCACGTTTTGTTTGGAAGTGACCAGCGCTTTTTTAATTGGTTCAGATGTAATTTCCCACAGCAGGTGTCCTGATTAATAGTTGATCTTAAAGATTCTAGTTGATACAACAAATCCATTTAAAAATTAAATAATTGGAAAAAAGCTGTTTCTAACGATTAGGCTCATTTGAACTTCTTCTAGTGGTCGACTTCGGTCAGTTGCGATACAAGCCCAAAGAAATGTGTACAATAAGTCAAAAAAAAACTATCTGGGTGCAATTAATAATGTAAACGTTGAAAATTGTTTAATTAAAGTTTGACCTCAATTTCTACCCAATTAACCTCCCCAAGTCAAAAACTCTCTTCGTTTGTTAGACTGGCCGTGGGCACGCCACCTTGTCATTTCGGCGGCGTTTTCGAATTTGTAACACCACGCATATCGGAGCTAAAGATTAAATATAAACAAAGCCGGTGATGAATCGTCCATCAGGTGAAGTTCACGGGCCAATCACTCACGTCTTACGTTAGCCATGGAAAAAAAATGGGGGAATGTGGATCGTAAGCCACGCGGTTATGTCACGAGGAAACGTTGTAGTTAGATATCCGGATTGTGATAACAAACTTTTCAGTGGAATCAGGCAATCAGCCATCAGAATACGCACAAAAGTCGATTGTAGTGGGAAATAAGCTGGGTATATATAGGCATTCACAGTGTCATTCCGGTCTAATCTTTTGATGCCTCCTAAGCGCGAGATGTTTAGTTTGAAACGAATTTAATGAATTTCTGGTACTCAGGAGAGAGGCCCGGATGAAACAAAAGCGGGCACAATCTTAGCATAATTGCCAGAATTAATTTGAACTAATCTTGACATAACTTCGAAACAGCTATGACAGCTGGAGTGTAAACTTGTTCTGTTAATTTTAATTATACGGATATATGTTTAATGCTTTGATATCATTAGAGAGTTATTGGACGGCCAATAACTTCATGGAGTAGTATACTTTGCGCTMTTTCGACCAATACGCCTGCGCAAATCAGTCTAAAAAATAAGTACTGCAAAATTAAAGTACTGTTCTGTACTATTTGYRCCCSGATACTGCACGTTTTATTTTCTACCTTAAACTGGCAGTTGACATTTCTGACGTCCGCTTGTAGGTTATTTCATTATAAACATAACCCAGTTTCAGYCATTTCCAATTYACCACYTGTTTACATATGTACACAACAACTACGTATTAAATCTTGTATTACTTATACAATTGGTTCAAAATGCCACRTTTTTGCCGTGTCGTTAAATGCTCAATGCGTACTGAACCAGTCTTAGTCGGAAAGCACTGGAGATCACTTCGCCCACTGCCTGATCTCCTTTGATAATGTCCACCGCAGTTGTGGACGAAACGTGAGGAAGAAAATCCCATGGACCACGGCTTCAAAGCCCGAAAAACATTTCTATATGTAACTGAAGAATATTTTATCGCGTTTTCCAGAATTTAGATTTTTGCAATTTATTAATGTACACCCTGCAAGCAAAAGTTCAAGTGATGGATGTAAATGAGAATTATGTTAAAAATAAATGCTTTATCCCTAACCTGTGTGCCAGACTCAGCATTGTTGTAAACTTGCAAATCTTTATAAGCCTTGAGCTGTAATCCAATGTAAAAACTACGGCTTTAAATTAAGTAATTCACCAAATACGTCGTGATGTTG